CAACCCCTCTTTTGTTTGTCTTTTTTTTCTTCCCCAAGAGGGGAAAAGGTTTCCAGAAAGAGGCTGCAGATTAATTTAAGGAATTGTTAATTATTTGTACATTTTATTACCTTGCTTTAAATTGAATTTGTTTATTTTAAAAAGCGTGCCTGAGAAGCCTGGTGCGAACCCACGCGGCAAGGACGCTCGCGGATGAAAAGAAAGAGCTGCCCTGCGCGCTTGCGTAAAAGCAGCACCCGGTAACTTACAGAATCGTTTAAACTTCCCTCAAAAACACGGTCTTGACTGTGCTTGTTTGTCAGAGCTTGGATATCTGTAGAAACAATAATTAAGGCTTGAGAGCTGTCCCTTAATGAGCATGGTACTCGCCCTGGAAACCCCCTCGGCCCGCAAGGGCGGAGGGAAGCCCCCTCGGCACCCCGCAGGTTACAGCGCGCTGTGCTTTCAGGAGACAAAAAAGCGCATTTCTTCCTCTGGAAAACGGAACCCCCGTCACTGTGATGGCAATGTGAAAGCGCAGGTAGCGTTGGTTACGTGTGTATGTTCTTTTTACAAAACAAAAAAACCCAAAAAAACCAAACAAAAAATTTGTAGTGTTCCTGTTCTTTGTATTTTTAGTTGCATTTTATTTATACTGCGCAGTGTAGGCATGGATTGCATGTCGGTTTTCTATGCGGGCACCATGACGACATTCTAACTGTGTATTATAAATCATTTTTACCTTTTTAAACGGAATCATTGTGTGGAATTTCTATACTGCAAAACAAAACACTACATTACGTACTCTAGTCATTTGTGTTATTTATTTTATTATTTTGTGGGGGGGAGGGGGGCGGTTTTATCTGTGGTGTATATTGCCTTATGTGGGCTTGACCAATTTTATCAAAATAAAGGCCTGAAGGGGTAAAACGCGCTGACTGTGTTCTTCAGTGAATTGCCTGGTGGCTGCGGGGCGGCAGCGGGGGAAGGCTGCGCAGAGGAGAGCGTGAAGGGCAGCGGAGCCGTAGTGCAGGGGCCTGTGCGGGAAGGCACCGCGGCGGTGTGGTGCGCTGACCGCCCGGCGCAAGGAGTGCTCGTCGGAGGAGTGACGGAGTCTGACGAGGGAATTTGCCATCGGTGATCGCGTCGCGAGCACGAG